TTTGCATGTAATAGCCAATCTAATCAAGAGGATCTTCTGGATTAACTTCTTCCTGTTAACTGGACTTACGTTTACCCTCACTGTTAGGATTAATCTAGGCCGGCGCCGCGGCTCACTAGGCTAATCCTCCGCCTAGCGGCGCCGGCACACCGGGTTCTAGTCCCGGTCGGGGCGCCGGATTCTGTCCCGGTTGCCCCTCTTCCAGGCCAGCCCTCTGCTGTGGCCAGGGAGTGCAGTGGGAGGATGGCCCAGGGTGCTTGGGCCTTGCAACCCCATGGGAGACCAGGAAAAGCCACTTGCTCCTGGCTCCTGCCTATGGATCAGCGCGGTGCGCTGGCCGCAGCGTGCCAGCCGCGGCAGCCATTGGAGGGTGAACCAACGGCAAAAGGAAGACCTTTCTCTCTGTCTCTCTCTCTCACTGTCCACTCTGCCTGTCAAAAAAAAAAAAAAAAAAAAAAAGGATTAATCTATTTGAAAACACTGAATTTCGGTATTTGTGAGGCATGTCCTCAAGTCACATTCTTCTTGTTACACCATTCACTGAGTTAATCTTTGGATGGGGTGAAACGTCATCAACATCAGCAGAGAATTTCACAATCTCATTAGTTTCAGCCCAGCAGTTTTCATACTGACTGGGGAAAATGATCGCTGGGTCCTGCACTCAAATTCCTCAACTCCATTGCACTGGAAAGCTTTGATTTCTGTTTACACTTCAAGTCCGCATTTTCATCGCCGCTGTTCATTGATGTTTTCTCAGTCACTGGAAAATAATACTTAAATGTATTATTCAGGTGAAATAGAACAGGTGACAAGGCATCTGGAAATCTGGAACATATCCCAGTGGTCAATGGATAAATGCCCTCTTATGTGTCAGTTTAGGTGAGGTTTGCACTGTCTGCTCTGCTCTTGTGTAGGTTGCATGAGGTGTGAGGCAATAGATACAGTTTCAGACTTGGAAGATGCCTAAGCAGCACTTTATCACAATCTTTATAACAAATGCCTTCCAAAGCATCTTTCATTAGTGATTGTCCTTTTCTGGTTGAGCATCTTAAGGCACATAAATTTCCATTCAATAATGGAAAACACTAGTTGTTAATTATTATTTTGAGGGTGGAAAAACCCAAGACTGCAGCTCCTAATGAATGCACTTAGAAATTCTTTGAGAAGCCAACCACCAGTGTAACAAGATATGAGCACTGTTTTCATTGACGGAAGGATATCGAGTTGGTTCTATTTTGTGGAGGATTTGAGTGCTTCTTTTCCTAAAGGAAGGTCTACTGTCTGCCATTCGTGGAATAAGAATTCTTCAGTGCTTTTTTCCCCCAGTAGCTGGTACATTTTTAGTTTTTTGAGTCTGTGGCATTCCATGGAGATGCAGTTGCCCTTTTGAAAGGCAGAAATTGACAAATAAAGGAAAACTGATGAAAGTTTTTTAAAAATAGGAGACAGAAAGGAAAGAGAAAAGGATAGCAAAGAAACATGAAGAGGAAGGAGGAGAAGGAGAAGAGAATGATCTAGAAAGGAAAATGGAGAAAAAGAAAACAGGAAAATCAAGCAGAATCTTTGCTTTATGCCACGCTAGTCTCTTCCATTAGTATTGACATGATAATGTCATGGACATGCAGTTTTCAGTTTGATTCCCTGGTTTGACTTTATGCTCAGAACTGCAGAAAACTTTCTACCCAGTTTACTTAACCTCTGTTTTATCATTCAGTTATAGCTTACCTGATGCCATGTCCATATCCATCCAGCCACCCACGATCTATATTTATTTGCCTTTTCTTTTTACAGAGAACTGTGATTTTTTTTCATGACTTTCTTTTCTGCTTTTGGATAACAAGAAGGGAGCTGGGGGAACACTTCCCACACTCTTCTTTGTCTACCGCTTTAAAGATATTAAACTTGTGTAAGCGAATAGTATAGAAGGTGGCTACCATGAAAATGGGTCACATTTTACATTACAAAATGATAAAGCATTTATTTGAAAACTTGAATACACGAGTTCTGGGAAATTCTGTGCATTTTAGCAGTTCCATTGCTACCTGGAATTATCAAATTATATTATCATTCTGTCATAAGAGAAACTGGCTGTTTTTTGAGAGTGTTGATGGGCATATTATTGGTATTGGTCACTTTCAAGCTATTGACCATTTTTCTGTGAATCTGTGGATGGAAGGGCTATTATATATTTCTATGACTGACTTTTCTGGGAAAGTTTCAGGTAGAAGTTACCTTTTCTTTTTAAAAGATTTGTGTATTTGTTAGTTAGTTAGTTAGTTAGTTAGTTAGAAGGATAGAGAGGGAGGGAGGAAGGAAGGATAGAAATAGATAAATATCAAGATCTTCTGTCTGCTGGTTCATTCCCCAAATGCCCACAGCAGCCAGGGATGGGTCAGGCTAAAGCCAGAAGCCAGGAGCCATGAACTCCATCTGGGCTCCCACAAGGCTGACAGGGACACAAGCACTTGGGCAATTTTCTGCTGCTTCTCCAGGCACATTAGCTGGCAGCAGGATTGAAAGTAGAGTAGCTAGACATCGGACCAGTGCTCATAAGGATTGTAAGTGTTGTAGGTGGCAGCTTCACCCACTCTGCCATGGCACCACCTCAAGTTTTCCTTCTTGATCAGAACTATTCAGCTGCAGTTTAGGTTATCTGATGCCATGTCCATCTTTCCATCCATCCATCCATCCATCCATCCATCCATCTAGGATCTTTATCTATTTCTCATTCCCTTCTGTAAAGACCTGTGGTATTAGTGATACCCTTGGCTTGTGGATAGTTGGCCTTTCTGTGTTTTACCAACAACACAAGGACAAGTTGCTCCTTCTCTCACCTATTATGAATATTCAAATTATAGTTCAAACTTCTTTGAGAATGCATGGTCTTCTCTGTTACAAAATGAAGTTCAAATCTACATAAGAGTTTCATTCTAAAATACATGTAGTAGGAAAAATGGTTTTATCTTTTAAAAATTATTTTAATATTATTTGAAAGACATATGAGAGAGAGGGAGAGAGAGAGAAAGAGACAGAAAGATAGAGGAAGAGAGACAACAGATAGAAAGATAAGGAAAGATCTTCCATATGCTGGTTTGTTCCCCAAATGCCCACAAGGCCAGGGCTGGGTCATACTGAAGCCTGGAGCCTGGAACTCCATCTGGGTCTCCCATGTGGTAGCAGAGACCCAAATACTTAAGCCATCATCTACTGCCTTCCTGGATACAGATTAGAAGGAAGCTGGATCAAAATGGAGGAGACAAAATTTGAACCAGGCACTCCTATATGAGATGTGGGCATCCCAAGCAGTGACCTGAGCTGCTGCTGATACTTTCTTCTTGGACTTCCCAGCCTCCAGAACTAAGAAGAAAAGCATTTTCCTTGTCAAGCCACCCAGTGTGTGGTACTGCATTATGGGAGTCCTGGCAAACTCACACTAGGGTAGGACTAAAGAGAAAACTAAAGGCACTTATAGGTGAATAATTTTGACCCAGAGACAAGGACATCTGGGTTGTTGAGGCACGCAAGAAAGAGGATGTAGGGACTGGCACTATGGCACAGCAAGTTAAGCTACAGCCTGCAATGCCAGCAAGCCATATATGGTCACCAGTTCAACTCCTGGCTGCTCTACTTCCAATCCAGCTACCTGCTAATGTGCCTTGTAAAGCTGGGGATGATGGCCCAAGGTGTTGGGTCCCTGCCACCATGTGGGAGAAACAGATGGAGTTCTAGGTTCTTATTTTCAGCCTGGCCCAGCCCTGGCTGTTGCTGCCATTTGGGAAGTAAATCAGCAGATGGAAGGTCTCTCTCTCTCTCTCTATTTCTCTCTCTCTCTCTGTCTTTCCCCTTATAACTCTGCCTTTCAAATAAATAAATAAATAAATCTTAAAAAGAAAAAAGAAAGGGGCTGTACTCTCTTGAAACTCTCTGACAAAATCCTTCTTTTCTGCTGTCTTTTGGGCTGGTTGCTCTGTTGGGGTCTGTACATGAGAGTGAAGAGTAAGGAGAAAATGAAGAAAGAAGCCACTGTATCCTCTTGGGAGAAATAAAGACTGCAAATGTGTGTAACTCATTAGACTGACTTGCTGCTACTTGAAGAAATTTTTCATCCTTTTTATCTTTTTTTTTTATATCAGAAAGGCCAGGTTGAAAAGAAAAATATTAAGCACTCTTAGGCTTCTCTACTGAAAACAAAATAGTTCTTATTTACAATAGAATATAATTTTAATATTTAGGTGACAGAGAAAACTGAACAGGTGACTATATCTTTGCTTCACAATAAATAACAAACCCCTTTATTTCCCTTTCTTATGACCATATGTACATTTTCTATAAATTTTTTAAAATAGTCTCATATGTTCAAAGCAAAATCACTTGCTTTCTATAATGTAGGGCATCCAGGAATAATGAAGGAAAAAGAGAATATGTACTATATTGACTTTACCTAGTTTCCAATCTTAATAAACTGTCCTGCTCATGCCATACTGGAGTTTGATTGCAAAGTGACACTGCCCTCAACTGTCAGGAACCAAATTCAGAAGATTGAAGTCAAATGACTTGGACTAGGAGCCAAGACTAAGAAAGTCATTAGGGGAAAAATACACACACACACACACACACACACACAAATTCAAATTCTTCAAGTGCACTGTAACCTTGAGTTCAAATTGACTATGAATCTGACAGTGTGCTCAGGGAATGGACGGAGGAGGATGAATCCATTTCCCCAAACAAGTCAATGAAAGCCAGCAAAAAGGACATTAACATTCCACAGAAATGTGTTCTCCTAAGTGCCTGGGCTATTTACAGTATCAGCAGACGTTTTGATGATGATATCATTGATTAGGGGTAGAAGGAAGGGGGTAAGGATGGGCATTATCTTAGAATCTGAATGACTCAGGAGTCTTCACTAATTTAGGTGACTAAAAAAGCACCCCTCTTCCAAATTCTCAATGAAAATCTGTAGGTCTCCCCTGCGTTTCTGTCTTTGCTTTCGCTCCTAGGCGCTGCCTGCCCCTATGACGGTGGCTGAGCTGCTGTGGGAGAGTGTGCTTCAAAGCACCCGTGACGGGATTCTGGTCTTCCAAACACTTTGACTTCAAGTTGAGAAGAGGGCTTCTACACCCACGTAAAGCGTTCTGCTCACCTACCGCATTCTCTTTTCTCCACATTCCCTACCTGGATCACCATCTTCTCCCTCTGAAGAATTCCAAGAGGTCTTGTAAGGTACATTTTGTCAAATCATCCTGATTCAGCATTACTCATCTAATTAACATAGATTGGTTAGGTGTGTGTTTTTCTTTCTAGGCCATTTCCAATAACACGACTATCGTACCATATTTACTGATAAGAACAGTAAAGAGACAAGAGAAACATGAGATTTGCTCTTCATTTGTGTTGACTTCAGCCAAGAGTCTCAGTTTCATGACTATGGCTTGCTTTAGAACTATTGGTGAGTCCTGTGCTCATTTTATGCCTCCTGGAGGCCAGTTGTTTTTACAAGAATGTAACTTTAGGAAAGTAGATGGAAGGGGAGGGTATTTTGAAATTTGTAGGCATAGGCAAGTACCTGAATGAAGCAGGTGGTGGGAGTATATTTAGTTGCTAGCTATTTTGACTCAAAGTGTGTGTAGCAAATACTTAGACATTGTATTATCTTATTGTCTTAATTATCAAAGAGGGACAGCTACTTATTTTCTTACAAGGGGAGTAAGGTGGTGACACAGTCTTCATCCAACCACATGATTTCTTCCTTGCAAGTGTGAGGGTGAGCTGCCCGCCACTGATGTCTGTTGGGCAGTAGAGAGTGTATCTGATAATTGCTTTCAAGCTTATTTCTGAGACTGAAGGCTCTGATCTAAAGTTTGTTCAACAGCACTAGCTAAAAGGATGAAAAGAAAACATGTACTGAGCATTCATATATCAGACTCTGTGTAAGTATTTTTTTCCACATTGATGATGCTATGCTTACAGTGAGAGTATATGTTGCATGGAATTACATGTTGCATTTTTATGTAAGTCAAAACCAGCTGGCAATATCATATGCTCAATGTAATATGATCCTTACTTGAAAAAATTAGTGGAGGGAGAGAGAGAGACAGAGGAGAGAAAGCTCCTATCTGCCATTTCATTCTCCAAATGCCCTCTACAGCTGGGGCTGGGCTGGGCTGGGCTGAAGTTGGGAGCTGGGAACTCAGCCCAGGTCTCCCATAAGGGTTTCAGGAACCCAGTTACTTGAACCATCACTGCTGTGTCCCAGAGTTCTTGTGAGCAGGAAGCAGGAGGCAGAAGCCAGAGGAAGGTATCAGATCCAAGGACTTTGATATGGGATAAGGACATCTTACTCGCCATCTCAGCTAGGTCAAATGTCCATCTCTGATCCTAGTTTTTAATGTTGAAAACTTACCAACATATACTTTGCACCTGCGTGTTTTCCCTAGGCTGAGCTTTCTACTTTACAGTATAAAGCAGTTATTTCTCAAACTTCAAGGAGAAGGGCTTACCATGAATCAGATTGCTTGTCTTTCAACCTTAGAGTTTCTGAGTCAGTGTACCATAGATGAGCAGGCAGGGATCAGAGAAAGAGGAAATATGTCATCAGAGACTCCTCCAGGCCTACCTCTGAAACTCCTTTCATGGCCTGTAACTTGAAGTCTCTACTGTAGCAAAACCACCACCCAGAAGTGGCACTGGCCAAAATTTGCTACATGGTTGCTGTCTGTAATCTTGTGATAACCCATACCCTATTTTAATAGCATTATAATAATACTACTACGACACTCCTATTCCCATGATGCCCCAATGCCATAATACTTCTGAGAATTCCTTAGAAAGCCAGAAAATGGACAGTTACCAAATTACTGGGAATCTCCACCATTATCTGGAAAACTCTGTCCAAGGCACTACTCTCTATGCTTCCAGATCATAAAATGAGATGGCCCAAAACTTTGTGGATTGCACCTCATGGTAGAGTGTGCCCACACTCCCTCTGAGTATATACTTTTGGTTTGCTAATAAATTGTACCCCTCTGCCAGCCTTTATGTCTTGGCCTCAATGTCTTTTGTGTGTCAGAGACAAGAACCTGGACCACTTGGCCCCTACAACATTACATAGGTCTGGGGTGGGACAGAAAATTTTAATTTATGACAAATGACCAGATGATTTTGATGCTGTTGACTCAGGCATCTCACGTTGGGAATCACTGATAAAGGGATGATGTCCCTTAGGACTTGCTTTTTTCCCCTTTAGAAATCAAGACAACATTAGCAACGTAGATTTACTTAAAAAATATCTTTCAAGCTTGAGGTTGTCATTTTCACTTATCCTTCATATATATGTTCTTGTATGTAACGCCTAACATAGAAACTAGCATCTTAATTTTTAACGACCTTTACATCTTTCCATTTATACAAACATAATTCCAGAAAAATCATTTCATATAGTGAGTAATCATAGAAGTGTAACATTTAAAGTGTTGGAATTAAGAAAACTTTGCGGGGTGGGGATGGTGGGGGGACAAGTAAAGGACAGTGGCTGGGATGGAGAAGTTCTCCCTTCAAGTCCTTCACATTTTTAAGATTCTATGCGCAATAAAAAAAAATCCAACCAAGAATGATTATGCCTACTATATACATGTGGAAAGACATTCCGTGGGGGAAGGTGGTCTGTTCCTGGCTGTTCCATGGAACATCCCAGTTGTGGGGTCAGGGAAAACCTCAGTCTTGTGCCAGAGGGGGAATCCAGCATAGTGGGAGGTGACACACTGAATGTTTTAGCCTGTAATGGAGGAGGAAATTCTATTCCCCCAGCTTCCTCTCATTTTGATCCATGTTGCAGTCTTAGGAGCAAATAGGAAACGTTCTCTTTATTGTGATTGCCCCAGCTATTCTTCAATCTTGTCATGAGAATTCTATGTAATCAGATGCTCTGGTTGTTTGCTACTACACCCATGGGGCCCCAGAAATAACACTATTTTTGTTTAAAGTCTAAACCACTTCCTGTGCGCTCTTCTCGACTCTCCCAAGGACTTGACAAGTTTATTTCTCCTCCTTTATTTCCTTGTGTTTTTGTAGTTTTCTCTTGTTTCCCTTATCCCTATCATACCAACTTCTTTTTTCTACCTAACTTGCATTCATCCTTGCAGCTCCTTTCTCAGTGTTTTTGCCATTTCAATGAGTTTGAAGTACTACTGAATTTGTCAGGACTTTTCCTAAAGATTTTGAGTGGGTTTTGTCCTAAATGAGAAGTGGTGGGAACTGGTTTTTCTTATACAAAAGAACTTCCTGGAGCTGCCAAAGAGATATTAATACTAGTTAACATTTACAAAGGAGAGAGGAGCTGGGGGAAATGTGTAAGTAGGCAATTAGTCTTCCAAACGTAGAATAAAAGACATGCCACACCTGCACCCCATATTGGAGTGCCAGGATTTGAGGCCAGGTCCACTTTGAATTCCAGCTTCCTGCTAATGTGAACCCTGGCAGGCAGCAGGTGATAGTGAAAGCAGCTGGACCCCTGTCATCTGCATGGATTACCTGGATTGAATTCCAGGCTCCTGGCTTGTTGAAGAATTTTGGGGAGGGAACTAGTGGATGGGAGGTATTCCTCCATCAGTCTGTGTATCTCTCTTTCTCTTTCAAATAAAAAACAAGCAAACAAGAGGCAGATTGCTTGGTGAAACTGAACTGTTGGGCACAGACCTGGTTATATACCAGCCCTATCCTGTGTGCAACCTGGACAACTAACATCACCTCCATGAACACAAGCTTGCTCACCTGTCAAAGGGTAATGATAATAATATCTTCCAGCAAAATTGTAATGAAGACAAGATGAAAAATGCATCTCAAACATCTAACGTTGCTGTTATTTTCCAAAATACCAGAATATTATTAGTTCATTCATTGTTTCATTCATTCATTTGAAAAAAAAAAAAGAACTTGTCTTTAACCTCATGGAACTTACAGTCTATCAGAAGAAATAGACCAAAACAAATAATTGTGCACAAACTAAACTGTGAAAAGGGCAACAGGAGAGAATGCTATAGTGAAAGAAAGATGTACTGTGGACTGAAGACGTATAGTGAGGAGACTTAACCAAGTCTGCTGGTGTAGTGGCCATGCATTGCTTTGTTACTGAAGTGAAATTTAAGCTAGGGTCCAAAAAGATGACGAGGGATTGAATAGATAGATAGTAAATGCTAAAGAGAGAGTTCCAAACAGGGGGAACAACACATGCAAAAGACTAAAAGCAACAACAAAGAACGGCACATTCAGTGAATTCAGGAAAAGCCCATATACACTGAAGATTAATCAGCTGTGGGAAGAGGGACATCAGTGACCTAAAGTGGCATAAGTAGGTGGGAGCAGAGCCACTCAGGGTCTTGTGAGCCACAGAAAAGATTTTGTCTTTTGTTCCCAATACATTTGGAAGGACGTAAGCAGGAAAATGATTTTCCTTTTGAATTTGTTCAGTTAGAATAGCCTGGAGCAATGCAGTTAGGAGGCTCCTGGAGGTGTCCAGATGAAGATGCATGTGGTAGCTTGGAATACTGTGGTCAGAAGGAGTGGTGTGGAGCTTTAAGATACTTAACAGCGGGGCTGGTGCCATGTGCAGTGGGTTAATCCTCCACCTGTGGTGCCAGCATCTCATATGGGTGCCAGTTCTAGTCCCGGCTGCTCCACTTGGAACCAGCTCTCTGCTGTGGCCTGGGAAAGCAGTGGAAGATGGCCCAGGTCCTTGGGTCCCAGCACTTGCATGGGAGATAGTGAATAAGTGCCTGGTTCCTAGCTTTGGATCGGCGCAGCTTTTCTGTTGCAGCCGCTGGGGAGTGAACTAACGGACAGAAGACCTTTTTCTCTGTCTCTTCCTCTCACTGTCTGTAACTCTACCTCTCTAATAAATTTTTTTAAAAAGATACTTAATAGAATTATTGTTGGGCGTTGTGAATCACTGAATGGGTATAAGAGGTAAAGGTGGGTGTTTGATAGATAGTGAGAGGACTAGCAGACCTCAGAGATTCCCAAGCAGCTCCACTGCTGCCCCAAGCCTAGTGACCATCACATCCTCCAGAGAGGAGCCACAGCTGCCCAGCCAGCCCTGGTCACCATCTCCCCAACTGTTAGCCACACCGCTGAGAACCTGCACTGTGGTAACCAACCCTAGCACCACAGGCAGGGTGCAGGGAGCCCGGGTGGCCTCAAATCAGCGGCACCTGCCAATGAGGACAAGAAGGTCATTGCAACAAAGGTGTTGAGGACAGTAAAATGGTTCAGTTTCATAAATGGCTATATTTTCATCAATAGGAATGACACCAAGGGAGACGTATTAGTACACCATACTGTCATGAAGAAGAATAACCCCAGAAATGCCTTTACCGTGTAGGACATGGAGAGACTGTGGAGTTTGATGCTGTTGAAGATGAAAAGGGTGTGAGGAGACAGCAACTGTTGTCCTGG